GGCCGCCCAAGCTGGGCCAGATCGGTCGGAGCAAGCGGGGTGAGTTTCGGCCCCGTCCCTGGCATCCCCTTTCTGCGGCGCTGCGGCCGGGCCGGGGAGCCGGGTCGGACCCGACGGAATCCCTTCCCGCAGAACGGGGGATCCCGCACTGCGGGTCCGTCTGAGGCGGGCCGCAGGCACGCGCCCCCCTCAGCCCGGTCCCCGGCTGGGTCACTCCGGGGGCGTGGCGGCTCTTGGCTGCAGCTGGGCTGCGGGGCGCACCCGGGTCCCCACCCGCACCAAAGTTTGCTTGTTGATTTCCGCCCCCTCCCCCTTTTGCGCAGTGTGGTCGCAGCCGCGCTGGCTGTACCGCCCTGGGGGGAGGGGGCCCAGGGCTCCCAAGGGGCGGCGTGGCGACCTGCGGGGGAAGACCCCATTCCTGCGGGGAAGGCGAGGGGCGTTCGGGCCGCGCCGGCTTTTCATTGTCACTGGGCGGCGAGGTGGGGGGTGGGGTGCCGAGCCGGAGCCTTCGGCGCGGGAGCTGGAAAAGCCCCGGAAGGCGGAGGCGCGGAGAGGCTCCGAGGGGAGCGCCGGGGCGCGGGGACAATGGGGGAGACCGACGGTTGCCGGGAGGGACGCAGACGCAGAGATGGCGGGGAGGAGGCCCACGGGAGACCAAGGGAGGCAGAGAGGCCGAGACAAAGCTCCGGAGAGGGAGCAGCCCGGGAGAGAAGGCGAGCCGAGGACGCTAGAGAGGCAGCCGTAGCGGTGAGGGCGACGACACCCTGGACACAGAGACCCGGAGACTTCGATCGGCGACTGTCGCGCCGAGGGACTGACGGAGGGACTGAGAAAGGCGAGGCTAGGTAGAGACTGCGAGAGAGGCGGAGGTGGCGACGAGAGGCAGAGTCCCGGGCAGGCAGCGGAGGGCTCTGACCTGTGCAGCGGCGGGAAGCGCGGAGCGGCCGAGTCTCCTCCTGCCCGGCCCGCGGCGCGGAGAGGGCGCCCGCCCAGGCCAGGCCCGAACCCTCCACCCGCTGCACGCGTGGGAACCGGCCCCGGAGTCCCCTTCTGGCTTTCTGCACCTCCGCAGCCAGCCTTCTCCAACCGCTGCGCTCAGAGCTCCCGGGGGTCCCAGAGACCTGGAGACCTCGGCTCCCGCTCCTCCCCCTTCCACCTCAGCGCGCCCGGGATGGGGAGGACGCGGCCGGTGCGCGCCCTGACTGCGGCCAGGGCGCCTGGGCTTGTGCCCTCTCGGCTTCCTTTGCTCAGTTGGAGGCGGGGTGGGGGGTGGGATGGTTCAGAGGAAGGCTCCGAAGGGACCCCGGCAGGAGCAGAGGAGGATGGGCTGTGTCGCCGCTCGGAGAGCCCTGCTCCCTCTCTTCTCTCTCACCCCCTCCCCGGCACTCTGGGTGTGAATCATCGGAGACCCCCTCAGGTCCAGGCGCACTCACCTCTCTTTCCCTCCCTTTTTTGCAGTTGTTATTGAAGATGATAGGATTGACGACGTGCTGAAAAATATGACCGACAAGGCACCTCCTGGTGTCTAACTCCCCCAAAGACAATGAGTTAAGGGAGAGGATAAGAACGGCGGTGACAGTTACTGGCAAAAAAGCATGAAAAGAGAAAGCACTTTGAAATGTATTGCTAGCTTGCTACCCACGATGAAATCAACAACCTGTATCTGGTGTCAGGCCGGGAGACAGATGAGGCAGGAGGAGGAGGAGGAGGAGGAGGAGGAGGAGGAAGAAGAGGAGGAGGGTCTGGGCTCCTCTGCAGAAATAAAAAAATAAAATAAAAAATAAAAAAAATCACTATTTACACACATATAAAGAAATAAAAAAGTCTCAGTTGCAGCTATTTGTCAAAATTAATATCCATTTCTTTTTATATATACGGTGAATATTGCGCAATTATAGATCTGGACTTTAAACCACTTAATGAAGCGGCAACACCGGGTGTTTTGGGGTGTTGGCATTCTTCTCTGATTTGGCTATTTCCCAATGTTTACATTATTTAACCTTGCAAAAATGGTTCTGTGCACTTGGATGTGAAATGCTGTCCAGTTTTATTTTTTTTATGTTGTTATCCTTGGATGTACAAAACATTCAGAAAATGATCTCTGTAGATATTCTGTTTTATTTTGGTCATCTTTTGAAGTTATCAGGAGTGCGTTTAAAACAAGAAGATAACTTTTCTAAGGAATGACACATAGAAAGGATCCTTGTTTTATTTTAAAATGAATTGTAAAGCTTGTGTTTCTTTGTTGCTGCAAGCTATTTGCCCAAGTTAATGCAAATGGACACATTTTAGATGTCAGAAAACACATACACACACACACACACATGAAAAACAAAGAAAAAAATGCTTGAGCTTTTTCGAACCTCCCCCTGCAGTCTGTTGTGTGAGCAGCCTGTTTTTTTCTCTAATATTATGTCAGTTTATTCTCTTTAATGGACTGTAAAAAAAAATGTAATCACAAGAGTGCCAAATATCTTGAAATGCCAAAAGGCATTTTGGTTTCTTTTCTTTTCCTTGTGCTCTGAGTCCACGTACAGGAATGCTTGGAGTGTCTTTTCTGTTATTTATAGGGATTCTCTTAAGGCACACCAGCTGCCTGTTTTGCATGGTATTTGCAAAAATGCCTTTTGCGTGAGGAAATCTTTTACCATTTTTTGTTTGCAACTTTGGACCTTGAGAGGTTTCCCTTCCCTTCCCTGTTCCCTTTTTCTTAATTCGGTATTCTGTATGTTGCACCTTGAACCAGTACACAGGGCTATTTCTCCAATGTACAATAAAAGAACTGTTCCTGTGTCTCACTGCTGTCTTTTCTCTGGTTTGGTTGGGGTGGGTTGGTGGGGGGTGGGGAGGACTTACTGTTTGCTGGTTGCAGACTGGAAGAAGGGGATGGTGACTTTGGTCTGTGAGGCAAAAAGTCACTGGGTGGGCTCAGATGGGAGGAAAGATGGGCTGGGCTGGCATGGCCATTCTCAAGAGATAATTTATTCCATTTTGGATTTGCAGGTCAGGCTCTCCCTGTTTCCCTGAGGTGTCTGTCATCCCAGGTGGATTGGGGAGAGAAGGAGGGAGGGAGTCAGTCTCCATAACATCAACATTTGCAGAGAACCAAATCTCAGGGATGTGAATCCCAGGTCCTTGACTTCCCAGCTCGGTGAACTCAACTTCTTGAAGCCTCAGTTTCCCAGTTTGTAAGTGGGACTAACTCAGCCCCTGCCTCGTGAGGTTCCTGGGAAAATTAATACAACACCCAGTGCATAGGAGCACTCAGTATCAGGCCACTATCCGCCTACTTGATCCCTCTAGCAAGAGCCACCTGTCCCCAGGTCCTCTGCTAGGGAAGACAGGGCTGAAGAGGAAGGAGTCCTTCCCTGGATCTTCACAGGTCCCTGCTTGGGGACCAAGCCCCTTCTTCTGGGACATCCACACTCAGCAGTCTTTCTCCAATCCACTTAAAAAAGGTTTGTTATCAATACAATCTCAGCCCCTTGTTAGGCTTGGGTCAGTTAAAGATGGCAGAACAGGCCCCCGGGTGGGGGGAGGGTTTAGGAGGAGGATTTTGAAGAAAGGCTGGGAGAGATTTTTCTTCTGGGCTGTTAATGTACCCAGAAGCCTCAGTGCTGAGAGCTTTTAATGTGTTTGTTGTAAAACTGTCAGCCGGGAGTCACAACACAGCTCATAGTGACAGGAGCCTGAGTATGACTCAGACATCAGGTAAGAGGCATGGTGGGGGTGCGGGCTGAGGAAGAGGGGTTCCGGAGGACCCATGGTGGGGTGGTGTGTCATCCTCCTTTCCAGGCAGTGGAGGCCTGGAGGCCCCAGGAGGTCCCAGCAGAAAGCTCCTCATGAAAGCAGGCATTATTAGGGGAGGGGGGAAGGAGGGCTGGGCTGGCAGACCAGCAGGATGATTTTCCCAGGTGTGGGACACTCTTCCAGAGTCTGGGTCTCCTCCCTGCTGACCCAAGGACTCCCCACACTTTGGAGCTGATAGGCTCCATGGAGCTCAGTGATCCCCTGTGCTTTCTCCTGAGTCGGCCGAGGGGGGCCTTGCAGAGAGCTGGGGGCAGGGCCCACCTTCTGTCCAGACATCAATCTGCTGAGAGGGCCAGAAGCCACATGAACAGATTCTTTCAGAAGGCACGGATTCTGTCTGCACCCAGGAGTAATTGCCACTTACATGATCAAAGCGCTGTGCAATTACAAGGTGCTTTCCCTCCTATTTTCTCGCACAATCATCTCAGCACCCCCCGGAAACCCACAGCAAGCCACTCTCTTCAGTAGGCAAGGAAGTTGAGGCCCCAGAAAGGCTAAAAGGATCACGCAGTGTCTGCATTAATTGAGCTTTTACTGAATCCCAGGCTTACAATAGCCCGACGAAATAGGCACTACTCCTGCCCTAATTGTATAGGAGAAACCAGGGCTCAGAAAGGTTAGGTAACTTGCACAAGCTAGTAAGTCACTGAGACAGAACTTGAATCCAGAGCCCATGATCAGGATGGGGATGCAGAATCATCTGACCTCAGACCCTGGCTCAGTCCCAGCTGCAGCCATTGTCTTTCAGCCTTAAAGATCCTTTGTTGGTTTGTTGTTTTGAGGCTCTGTCCTTTCTGACTGTTCACTGTGTAAGGGTTCAGAAAGGGGGCGGGACTTGGATGTGGTCAGTTAAGGCCTGGGGCTGTCCTCTGCTGGGAAGGGGGAGCCCAGGAGCCCTCAGCCGAGGCCCCAGGTCCATTTTAATAAGTGATGTATTAAAATGTTCCAGCGAGAAGTCACTCTGCCAGCCAATGCTGGGTCTTCTGCTAGGGAAGACAGTCTGCCTTTCCCAAGGACTTCATTCAGCAAAAAGGAATATAAATCTTTTTACACATGCTATAGCATCGGGTAAACATTTGTTGAGAGGGCACTTTGGGGGCTGGACAGATATCAAATTATACCAAGTGCAGGATATGTTTGAAGTATCTGGTTAGGTGGCAATAAACATGGAAAAGGCTATTAAAAGACCAAAGTGGGGGAGGGTGTCTAGAAGCCTCCAAGCATCGATCGGAGCATGCCAGGGCTGCACTATTCAAACTTAACTAATTGAATGCTTGTAATCATACATCTCCCTGGATTCTGCTTCCAGGGCTTGTCCAGGCTGACAGCCTGAAGGAATATCCAAGGGGGAAATTGGCAAATTAAGTTTTTAAAGAAAGAGATCTGAAAATGACTACTGTCTGGAGGCCAGAGAGGAAGGGAGGATCGAGAGAGGTGACTCTGCAGAGAACAGGCAGGGGGTTCCTAGGTGCTTGGGGCCTGGTAGGAAGTTCTGGCCTAGAGGGAGGGATCGACAGTAGGGTGGCTGATGCACGGGTTTAGGACACAGAGAACTTGGATTTGAAACCCTTCTCCTACACATTCTAGCTGTGACTTGGGGTGTCAAGCTCTTTGGGCCTCTGTTTCTTATATAAAATGAGGATGATGGCAATTTTCACAAAGCATTAGACGAGAACCCCTCCCTGCCCACCATAGGGCCTATTGCATAATAAATGGCAGTCATCAATCTGAACATATATGAAGTGCCTACTGTGTGCCAATGAACTTTTAAGACCTAGCCAACAGTTCTTATTGCATGAAGCTTCTTTGCAGATAGTTTTTGGCAGCCGTACGGAGAGTCAGTGGAGATATCTTGGGGATGGGAAGGGTGGTGGTTTGGGTAAGGAGGTGGGGAGTAGTTCGAGGGAGTCAGCCTGCTTCTCAATCTCTCCATCATCTCCCCAAAGCCCCTGATAACAGTCCTAAGTAAACTCGTGTGCTTGCTTCCCAAAGGCAGTGTCAACAGGGGTCTCGTACTCACTTCTAACTGGATTGCCAGAGTCATTCTTCTCTGAATGGAGACGAGGAGGTGCCGACTTCTTGTCCTGGGAAGGGAGGAGCCTGGTTTTCTGTTCTGCTTGGATCATATTCTTCCCCACCCCCCATTTTTTAAAACATGAGATGGGGTCCCGTTTTGTTGTCCAGGCAGGTCTTAAAATCCTGGGATCAAGTGATCCTCCCACTTTGGTCTCTCAAAGTGCTAAGATTACAGGTGTAGGCTACCATGCTTGGTCATTTTCTTTGACAAGACCTCCCTAAGTTTCATTCATTTGAGAAATACCAGTTTAGCACCTACTATGTACCTAGTACTCTTCTAGGCGAACTGGGTATACATTGGTGAACAAAACGGGAACTTTTCCTGATCTTGAATATGATAGGACCTATGGAAATGAGGTTGGGATCTAAGGGCTTGGATACACCCAGCATCAGAAGCTCAGATCCTTAGTACTGGCAACAAGAGGGAATCAAAGAGAGCTGGGGATTGGGGACTGCCTGAAACACAAGCATGTGCCCCAGTTTTTAAAAAATAAACTTGTGATTTTAGAATAGTTTTAGGTTTATAGAAAAGTTATGAAGATAGAGTTGCCACATACCCCTGACTTAGTTTCTCCTATTGTTCACACCTGACATTACTGTGGTATATTCTTTACAACTAAGGAACCAACACCGTATATTACCATGAACTAAACTCCACAGTTTATCCAGATTGTATTAATATTAGCATTTACCTAATGTCCTTTCTCTGTTCCAGGATTCCACTCAGGATACCACATTACACATAGTCATCTTATTTCCTTAGGCGCCTCTTGGCTGTGATAGTTTCTCAGACTTTTCTTGTTTCTAGGGGAGTCCTGGTCAAGTATTTTGTAGACTGTCATTTGGGGTATGCGATGTCTTCCTTTGGTTCAAACGGGGATATGGGTTTTGGGAGGGGGACCCTGGAGGAAATGTGCTGTTCTCATTACATCCTATCATGGGGTCCAACTATAGACATGACTTATCACTGTTGATGTTGACCTTCACCATCTGGCTGAGCTAGTGTTGTCAGACTTCTCTACTGCAAAGTTAGACTTTTCCTTCCCTTTCCATACTGTTCTCTATGGAAGGAAATCATTGTGCACAGCTCACACTTAAGGGACAGGGAGTTCCTTCCTACCTCCTTCAGGGAAGAATATCTCCATAAATTATTTGGGATTCTTCTGCACAGGCGATTTGAGTGACCTATTTTTCAGTAGTTCGAACTTTGCCCCCATGTTGGGCGAGCCCACTGTGATTTAGATGTAATCATGAATTCCAGGCAAACAGGAGAGGAGGGTGGAATGAGAATGTCCAGAGTGCCCAAGGTGCTTCCTGATGACCGATAGATGGAGTCTTACAAAAAAAGAGATTAAAAAATTAATAAAAGCGACTTCCTGTGGAGAACTGTCACCCTGCTTAGAAACTGTGCAGAATTTTTTCTTGGAAACCTTCAGGCAGCTGCTCTGGTTTATAAAATCTGCCTATTGGAGGAAAGGAGAAGAGAGAGAAAAAAAAAGGTTGTCATTATTCCAGTAACAGAGATTCTCCCAAACCATATGCAAAAATAAATCCGTGGTGACTGGGGCTGTATCCGAGGAAACCTGGCAGCTGGGCTGGAGCTTGTGGGGAGGCCCCCAAGGACAGAGATTCTGGGTCCGAAACTGCAGCCACCTTGCCAGCAGGACCCAAGGTCCCAGAAAGACAGCTGCTGGGTCACTCCCACTCCACCTCCCCAGCGCTGGGACCCCATCGGCTTTCCCCAGGTTCTGAGATGAAGATTTGGCTTATCTTGTTGCCATCAGAGGGTTTGTCTTTAACCCATGGGAGGGTCTGTTCTTATGCCAGGGGAAGTACACACTCCTGGGCCAAGAGGAGGGTCCTTGACCCAGAAACAGCAGTTCTGAGGACAAAGGGTCATTAAGTGGGAGGA